TAAATCCAATATATACACTTGTAATAGAATGCTGATTTACCAACTTAAGTTTCCTTCCATTCTGGTCGGATTTACGAATCACGTAAAAGCTAATGTAATAAAATAATAATGCTTACGCAGAATTTCCTTAAATACGTAATATTCGAAATCAGGGAGTAACTACCAAATCAAATAATATCGAAGATACGAAATATACGTTAATAAAGAATATTTTGTTTCTTAATAAATTATATGTCATCAGTAACGCTACTTGCAACATAGATCTGAAATCTCTTGCAGTGCTATGTCTTTACAAGAGACTGATCAAAGATAGATTATCCTTGTCATATTTGGGCTGAAGCTCACTTTCTAACCTTGACGGCGTTCAATAACGTTTACCTGCTTTCCAAAAGACAGAACGCTGCAAAGTTTTTTTTTTTTTTTAAATCTCTCTTTGTTTCCATGGTTAATATACTAACGAGATATCTTCCAAAGATATTTTTTTCTTCGTATTCTATGAATAAGCGAGCTCAATCTTCACAAGAACAATAGCGTTTTGTAACAGATTGTCGCATGGATGCTTCTCCGATCGCTACCATCTAAATCTCTTCATCTTCATTTTTAGCATTTATCATCCCTACAGACATACTTAATCAGCAGTTCTTAACTCCTTCACATAACGTCAACTGCAACCTCATTAAATGACCTTCTACATTGAGTGGTTCTTGGGCCTTGTATTGGGGTAACAACTAGAAATATAATTCGACGGAAATAGATATCTTTGTAAATATTATTAGATTATACCAAGCAAAAACTGATCATAACCCCACGTTTACATTTTCATACGAATTATTGGTCTCATAGTACAGTTCTATTTATAAAAATCTCTAATGCTTAAAGGGAATTCATTGCGTTCGTGGTTATAGCTTCTCCATTACTTCGGCACGATTTTTAATACTGAAAACGACCGGCGATAATGTTATGAAAGATATTAATCAATAAGACGAAAAAAACTGTAAAAATGGAATAGGAGGGAGTAAAATTGGCGCCCAACGAGATGTAAGAACGCTGAGAATTGGCTTTTAGAAGCGACATTATGTCGCTTGCTGTTGGCCTTTCTCTCTCTTTTTTTTTCTTTTTTGTTTTCATGGTGAGATAACAACAGTTGTGTCAGCAGAGTCGATAACCGTGATGTATGTCCAAAATGAACCTACAATAAGATTACAGAGAGAAATTGCTTTTTGAATAGCTTTGTTTTTGCCTTTGAAAAATATATTTTCTTTCTTTTTCCGTTTGTTTAGTTTGCTTTGCAAGATGGCCTCCACAGTAGCTAACATAAAAATACACGGAGGCATACATCACGGTGTATATATATATATATATATATATATATATATATATATATATATATATATATATATATATACACTTAGGATTTATATAGGTATGCAGATGTGTATTTAGATAAACTTATTCAGAAATAATCAAAATAGGAGAAAAGTTGGGAGACTATTTCCACAGGCTTCGAAATCAGAATAGAATGTCTACTTAGAGAATCAACATCTGAAATCTCGGATTTTGTGGCGATTGAGACATCAGAAACAGGCATTGAAATAGAATATACAAGTATCACAGTGGCAGCCTTTTTCTTTCTATCTCATTCCGTTTAAATGCGCGCATGCGCACACACGCACAAATATTATGTATTATCTATTTACATGCCCCTTAATGAACTTCATTCCAGATTATCAGAAAATTTATGAATACTTATATCTGAAATACCACAACAGGCTTATCAAGACGACACATGCTGCATCTCTCAGATCAGAGTTCAATTCTAAAACATTTTAACATACACAGAAATCTCCCAAATTCTGTCCACAGTATACTCGTAGAAAATGCTTCTATGATAGCCTCATCTACATTTAAGAAAAGTCTAAAAATAATGAAAGTATTAATAATAGAAAAGAAAGTCAACACTCAACAATATCAAATATGAACACGGCGACCAGTTGTAGACGATATTTGAATAAAATATCCTATCACTATAGATAAACATATTTAACAATCTATATAATCATTTAAAAGTTAAAAAATCCTCGATAATGACTAGTAGAATAGTCGAAACCTCTCGGATATATCGAACATCAGGAAGTTTTTATGCACTTTACTTCCAGGAAAGAAAATATTTATGCGAACACAAGAAAAATTCAATAAATCTTAATCTTAGACTAGGGCAGGAATTGACTAGTTAACTTTAATGCCTCAAAAACAAAACTGCTCTCTATTACTCACCACAGAGAATCACATCTGCTCCCACCTTCATTAGAATGACTGACGCTCAATAGCACCTCTTTGCGACTGTTCGGTCTCACATTGTCTGCTGACCTGAGATGGAACAAATACATTGAGTCAATAGCTTCGTCAACTGCAAGGAAAGTTGGCTCCTTGTGCCGCGCCAGGAAATTTTTCTCGCCGGAATTGATCCTTCAAATCTACAAATCAACCATTCGCCCTTGCTGACATATATGGTCTGGAGCTCCTTGTGTTTGTCTCAAGGTTCTTGATAAAATCCAGAAACGGATATGCAATGTAATTGGCCCTTATCTGGCATCTCGTCTGCAGTCGCTCTCTCACAGACATGCTGTTGCCTCCCTCTGTCTTTTTTACAAATACTTTCATGGTAACTGCTCCGATGAGCTGCTTTCAATGGTTCCCAGACTTCATGAATTTAAGCGTTCAACTAGGCTGGCCTCGCGCTCTTACCCTTTCACTGTCGAAACTGTTAAATGTAGCCGTCACTTCTACTTCAATAACTTCATGTCTCGCACTTCTCACCTGTGGAATTCCCTCCCCTTTACAAATTTACCTGATAGCTATAATCACCAACTATTCAAATGTAATGTCAATCGACGTCTTCCGATTCCGTGGTCTATCCCCTATCCTTCTCTTCATTCTTTCTTCTATCACTCATATTTCCTCTCGCTCCACCTCTCTGTAACCACTTACGTGCTAATGGCTTCCCGCCTTGCTTGGGATGAAACGCTTAAAAAATCACAGGACATTTACTGGGAGAAAATGAATGATAAAGTGGAAAAAATTAGATTAAGACGGATAAAGACGTAAAGGTCAAAACGTGTCACAGGCTTTTTTTTTAAACTTTGTCTTATATTTTCCCCAATATTGCTCTGAATATTTAAAAATATATCTCGTTATATTAGATATAGATAGATAGATAGATAGATAGATAGATAGATAGATAGATAGATAGATAGATAGATAGAAAAAGAAAGAGAGATGGTGAGATAGAGAAACAGAGAAAGAATGGTGGGGTAAAAATAAAGCGCAGTAGGATATAAAATAACAGAGATACAATTCATATTTTATGTAAAAATGTTCATATTTTTATATGAAAATTTTATATTAAAATTACATATGCATTTTTTTCCTCAGCTCTTGTTTTATGCTCATACACATCGTCAGACACAAATTAAAGTATAAATCGTTGTATTAGGAGGCATAAAAATCGAACTGTTTTAAATTTATTCTCAACGATTCCTATATGCATGAAATTAGAGATGTATTGAGCAGTGACGGCAAAATGCATAATTATTTTTGAATATAGATTTTCCGCAAACACACAAACACACACGCCCTTGTGCAAATTAACTGAAATCAAACGAATAATTCCGTTATTATTTACTTTTTTTCGTATTTTTCCAATGAAACGTAACACTGCTCGTGTTATTACTTGGTATGTACATTCTACGAAGTCTTTCCTTTCAGATTGACCACAGATTCTCGATTAGATTTAAATCATGAAAGTTTTCGAACCAGTCGATAGTACTCTGATTTGTGCACTTTTGTTTGCCATTGTGTTCGTCCAGCTTTACGATTTTCGTACACTTCCTTGGAATAATGTCCATCGCAGATAACTGTTGTAGGATAACTAATCGAAACTGGAGACAAATGTGATAATATATATATATATATATATATATATATATATTAGTATAGGTTAAATATCATAAATATTTAAATATATTAAGGTGTGCAAACTTATAAGACACATGAGTGATCTAAGATAAATAGAAAAAAATATGCCAACTCCATTCTTTTATCCTCGAGTCGTCAAGCTGTAAATGACAGGAAGTAATAATTGATGTAATGAGCGTCTTATACTAAATCGTTCAATATTATTACAATTACTACAACGAATGAGGAGGCTTGGCGTTGCGTCCATGGTAAAGAGACTGCAGAGTGGAAAATGAATCATCACACACAAAACCGCGGAAACGGTATAAAATATATCAATTCAATATTCCATATTCAGTTGGATCTGACTCTTGTAAACATAAAGCATTGCAGAAAGGGTCCAGTTAATTCATGAAGTGAAAATATCATTCAACTCTTTTCTCACCGTCTTCAGATATATATTGAACTTCTGGTGGGCCGTTAGCATCTATAGATTTGGATTGAATTTCCAATCAACTCGAAAACAATAAATCCATGTATATTTTGAGATAATTGTTTGGTATTCTGAATGTTTGAGCTATTTTCTCTAAGGAAATGAACTTTGTATAGATAAAAAAAGAGATCCTTTCTTACTGGTGTATAAATGCTAGATGTCAAATCTCATAATCGCTTTTGCGAAATTCTTCATATATGGGGAGCAGAAAATTTGACCACATATGCATGAATGTGCCATTAAAAAATCGATATGTTTTTTTGTTAATTAATGTATAACTGCTTCGATATTTATCTGAATGATTGCATGCTATTTTGAATATTTGTATCAGGAATACAATCTTCGGAAGTTTTCATATTGGGTTAATTTTAAATGTATTAATATTGCTTTTACGTCGGCATGAATAATATGCATATTTTAAAACTTTACATATTACAATACAAGAGATGAAGAGATGCATTTACCGGATACACATCTCTCGAAATAATCTATTTACTGCCAATTATATTTTTAACATTGTAACTTCGATATCAAGATCGATTTTCTTGTGAAAATGACTGATAAGAAATCAGACTCTATGGCGTGTTTGAAAAGTTTTTATTTTCATGCACGTTAACTCTGTGATTGTTGAAAATTCTCGATCTTACCAACTGTTCCAAAAGTTTAAAGACTTTATTTTGAAAATTTTAATCTTTTTTTCTAATGTGCATAACAAAATAAATAATATAAGTAAATTACACACGAATGTAATAAAAATATATTTTAACAGTTTATATGACATGGATAATCTTAAAACACTTATCTACATATAACGCAGAAAATGATGTAACCATACGTTATCACATCCCTAAATTAAGTATAGGAAATACCACTGTTTTTCAAAAAAGAATATACTAAGGTAGTAACAGATATCTTCTCATGTTAACAAATCGATATACCTTTTTTTCGGTATCACCTTGAGATAGGCATTAAAGCCACTAAGAGACAAGAGTTAAAGGGTGTGGAAGACTTAGGAACAGAAATATTAATAATGGGTGGGAAGAGAAACGAGCAATCAGGAATATATTAAATAGCGATTTTTGCAGATTAAAATTAGTTGGAAATTATGGAACTGAAAGGGAGTTCCATAAGTGAGACGTGCGAGAAAAGTAACATTAAAAGTGCGAATAAAGTAACGTTAAAAGTTAGCGTAGAACTTACGGTTACATTCAGAGAGATCAACTGTAAATCGATGAGATCTCGACTCCTAAATAAAAAAAAATTCTAGGTACCACAGCGAATATCTCATATGAATATATATGAAAAAAGACAAAAGGAAAACTTTTCTTTACCAACATGTTTACACCTCTGATGGACGTTATCAAGTAAAATGTTCGGATTTTATTTTACAACATATATTTAGAAACCCGAGTAAAAACAACGATCATCTTTCAAAACTTTTAAATCTAGGAACGTGCATGAGTAAACTTCAGGCTGTGAATGTCAAGTTAAACTATAAATGATACTAAGTGAGTAAATGGTATTATTGTTGTTGCTGATTTTTTCCTAATTTTTATATTTATTTATTGATGAATGACTTCATTATAGATAATTTTGTTTTAATTTGATAAATTATTTACGAATTTATTTATGTTAAATTACAGAAAGTGTCATTTTAAGAATATTGTTTTGATTTTTAAAAAGAAATTGTGTTCTTGCATGTTGTATTGAGAAAGGTTTATTTATTTTAGCAAAAGGAACTTTTCGATAGCGACACTCTCAAGATTTGTTCGTCGGAATCAGTTATTTTCTCTTCTAATAACTGTGATATTTTTTAGAGTGAAGTTGTGGTTGAATTTATTTCCGTACAGAGATGCAAATAAACCAACATGGCCGTCCGTCTCGACAGGCACATTCAATCGGGTGTGAACTGGGACAGGAATTGGCTGGTTAACATTAATGCCTCAAAAACAAAAACGCTCCTTATTACTCACCACAAAGAGCCATCCCTGCCTAACATTAGAATGTCTGACTTCTCGAGGGCACCTCTTTGCGACTGTTTGGTCTCTCACTGCTGACATGAGATGGAACAAATACATGAAGTCAATAGTTTCGTCCACTTAACCCTTCACCACACACACATATATATGAAAGGTTAAGTATATATATATATATATATATATATATATATATATATATATATATATACGTATGTGTGTATATGTGTGTATATATATATACATACACACACATATATATATATATATATATATATATATATATATATATATATATATATATATATATATAAATATCAAAAAAACTAATATTCCATGGTTATAATTTATTATTGGAATCGTAATCACGATCCAATTCATCAGACCTACAAATTCTTTTTTATTTGTAGGTTTGATGAATTGGATCGTGATTACGATTCCAATCATAACCATGGAATATTAGTGTATATATTTGAGCCTTATATTATATTCTTACTCTGTCCTGGACATTGAATTCTACCTTGATTCTATCATCTTGGGAATTTATATATATATATATATATATATATATATATATATATATATATATGTGTGTGTGTGTGTGTGTGTGTGTGTGTGTGTGTGTGTGTGTGTGTGTGTGTGTGACCACTATTATATATATATATATATATATATATATATATATATATATATATATATATATATATATATATATATATATATATTTAGACATCCTCGGATAATTTACACACGTTTTGTCTACTTATTTTCAAATTAATTGAAATTCACGGACAACATTTTTGGTGTCGTTATTAAAAAAAGAGAGAAAAGTACTGTTTTGATACAGATTATTTATTTCAAGTACTTACAAAATTAGCAAATTATCATCATCAGGTTCATTTGAAGACACATATTGTAGTGTTCATCATTTTCAAATACAAATTTGCTGTGTTCATCTGGAAGTTAAAATGTTTTACTTTTGAAGTGAAGAACGCTGATTTTAGTACTGTGCTAATGTTTAAATTTCTCCGAATAAATAATATGTATCAACACGTTACTTTTCTCTCTTCCTTTAGTAATGACACCAAAAATATTGTCAGTGAATATGAAATGATACAATTAAAAATAATTATTCAAATCTCGTCCAAATTTTTCAATGAAACATGTCTCAATTAGCACATGCTGCCGAAGTATACTCAATATATAATATATACAAGTATATGTGTTGAAATTGAATGCACAAATTGAATGCCCCTTCTTTAACGTTTGTTCTAAATACGAATGTATATCGTTTGGAAGTAGTACTTCTGGTAAGGATTAATCGAAATATCTCGTGTGGATTGTATGCCTGTAAATCTGAGACTTGAAACAAGATTTCATGCGGCGTGGGTGTAGAGTCGCGTGTGCCTTGGTTTGCAGTAGAGCACGCTAAGAAGATATTGAGGTTACAAAGTGCAAACCGCAGCTACTGACATTATCATTGTTTTTTGAATTGGACGATCTACTAGATACTAGACGTGTCTCCATCGACTTATTAAGATTGTTTTTGCTTTTTTTTTATATCTCATTTCACCAGTTTTCCAATAGGCACCCTCTGTCATTCCTTTAGTTCCAGCAATTTATTTTTTTATCTTTCTTAATACTTTTTCAGCAAAAATTTGAACTGATTATTGAGCCTTTTTTTTTTACTTTTTCTTTCGTTTGTCATCTTCTTTGTCTTTACCTTTGAATTCTTCTGTATATTCTCATTGTACAATTTCGCTTTTTCTTTTTATTCCCATTTTTTTAACTAAAAAACATTATCTTTTTCTATCTATTGGTATTTTATTTTCATTCAATTTTTTTTCTTTTTATTCTTCTTTTTATTACTTATATTTCTTTCTGTCTTTCATTCTATTTTTTTCGTTTCTTTCTTTATTTAGTTACTCATTATTTGATTGTTTCTCTTTCTTATCCAATCGCTATTCTTTTTTCTTGCGTCCTTTCTTGCTCCATTTTCTTTCGTTGTGTTTCAAGCCTACTTTATTCTTTCTCTTCACTTTTCAACATTATTTTCATTTTTCCTTCTTTCCTATCATTCTTTTCTTTTTATTCAGTTGGATTTCATTCCAGACACATACTATTTCTTTTTCTTTTCGTTCTTTCTTCTTGTGTATTCTTTTTACTTTCTATTGTTCTTTTCACACTTCACCACAGTTATTACCATATTTCATCATTCATATCCACCTTCCGGCATTTTTCCTCCCTCCCTTCCTAATTTCTTTTTTTCTTTACCTTTGTGCTTATCATTTATTTTGCTTAATTTGTATTACTCTTTTCTTTTTTGCATTCATTCTTTCTTTCACTTTTCACTACTTTTTCCATCACTTATGTTCTTCTTTCGCCATATTCATTCTTTCTTTCTTTCACCTCATCTCATTTTATGCTTCATCGTCATCGCTTTGTGCGTTGTAATGTTTCTGTTCTATGTGTCGAATTGTAATTTGGTTAAGTTCTTTTATTTTTCAATTAACCTCTATTCTTTCCAAATGGGTGGACGTTGACATCATTTTATATTTGCCATTCTTTATTCTTTCTTTTTTGCCTATCAACATTTACCAATTTTAGTGTGACAGCGCGGATTTCTTATTTCTTTATATGCTATTTATTTTTTCTTTCCCACAAGAATTATACCATCTTCCAGTTTTATCCTTTTTTCCCTCCTTCCTGTTTCTCTCTCAGAGTCTTGGAGGATATCTGGCGGCTTTTACCGAAATCAGCGAATTGACTATCGGCTTGAAAACTCTTCAAAGAAAGTAAACAAATTTAGATGATGCTAACGGTATTATCAATTGTGCCAATCACGAATCTTTCGATCTCTGCACGTTAAAGAGTATAGTTTTCTACCTGTACATAATCATGGTATCTACACGGCAATTTGGGATTAGCTGATCAAACACATTCTCTGCACAAACACAGCTGAATACGTATCATTCAAGGAACGAGTGTACATGCTTCATGATTGAAACATAATACATTTATATGCAAAGAAAATAATGGCTGCATACATGCTTCTGTACAGATGAGTAAATTGTCGCCATTTAATATTTTTTTAATTCTGCGCATGCGCGTTGTTTGTTTTTATTTTGTTGACTGCAAAGTAGAGTGGGGTCTGTTGGGTACTGTCTGTGAGGAAAAGAGCACCATATTGCAATTGACGCTCACTGGACTTGGGAAATAGCATGCTTTACTGCTTGGCATTTGTACCAGAACTCCAATATCAAAATGGTTGGTGTCAATCTAAAGTACAAAGTATTCGGAAAGAGTTGGAGGAGTCTAATATTGTTTACGAAGTTAAGGCAGCTCGGCAAACACACTCTGATTGTTAGAATAAGAAAATATCACCCGAATCTTTTGGCAAGGACGTCACACTCAACATGGAGACCTATATCAAGTGGCTTGAGAAGGTAATGGTGGCCTGGTTCAAGAGGGTGGCTAGTTGAAGACCCTATGTATAGCAACAGGACTCTACCCCATACTAAACAAGCAGGAGAACCGGGTCAATTTCTGCCATCATATAACCCCTTGATTACTATGTATGGGGGGAGATCAGAGCGAGGCCAACAAAACTCCTTGAAACCCCAAAGATGAACTAAAGACTAGGATTATGGTGACATACACCAGCATGAAGCCAGTCCATAAGGTTTGCCGAAGGTTCGTCTAGAGGCTGTAGTTGAAATCAATGGCGATTTTATTGAATAAATTTCAAGATATTTTTGTGTGATTTTGGTAAAGATTCTATATATATTAAAATGAGATGTCAGTTTTATTTTCGTTTTGGATTAATTTAGACGACACTTTATCCATCGCACATTACATATGTGTAAAATCTCATATGGTCGACATAAAAGTAATTTTTTAATAATTATATACATTCTCTGAAATATATACATATTCGCAAGAATACATGTATACATATGTGTGCGTGTTCTAAGAGAAAATATAGGTAGAAATATTGAGAAATAAAGAAAGAGGAATGAATATAACTGAAAAATAAAAAAAAACTATACAGATGGATGGCGCAATTGATAGTAAGATTGATATGAGAGAATATTACGAGACAAAACATGTTGTTATAGAAATGTACTTAGTGAGGAAGATATATATATATATATATATATATATATATATATATATATATATATATATATATATATATATATATATTCTATTGTTTTCTTATAAGTTCTTACAAATTTTGTTCTTATTTTTTTATTTCCCAGTAAGCAAGACAAAAAAGCCAATAAGACACACATTTTTACTGGAAGCGGAAAAATTAGAATTGAAAATCTTACTTATTATAAAACGCAGATTGTGTTTTTGTGTGTGTGTGTGTGTGTGTATCTGTACGTTTATATATTGGATCAGATTTTCTACATTTTTCAACTGATTTCAACAAACCTTCCCAAGACTACATAAAATTACCTTGCGGTGGTTCTGACAGTGCCAAAAATTGGAAAAACACAATTGTTTTTTGCACGAAATCAATTTGAAAACATGATAAAACACGATTATGTTGCCAGATTGAAAGGTGGACAACTCATATTGAATTATACTTATTATAAATCCCAGGTTGTTTGTGTGTGTGTGTTCGTTTATATATGGGATCTGATTTCTTATATTTTTCAACCGATTTCAACAAAACTTCACTTTTATTTTGACAGGTAGTGTTTCTTATTGTCTTGCACACTTTTTTCTTTATTTTTACATTCAGAATGCTTTAAAAATTCCATTTACAAGACAATTGTTTATAATAAAATTCTATTCAATCGATAGACTCATAACGATTGAAAACAATATTTTTGTTTGAGTTTGGGTTTGACCAATTTGTAAAAAAAAAAAAAAAAAAACAAACAAAAAAAAGACATGCGTGTCCGTCAACTTTAAACAATAATCTTTGTCAGTTTTATTTTTCAGTTGTTTATGATGGTCGATACTTGATCTATCTCTTACTGTTACATCCCCGGGCAATGTCGGGCTCTACTGCTAGTATTTAATAAGAAGCAAGAGCAAAAATGAGTAATCAGGGCAGTAGATAGCGATTGACATTGCATTTAAATTTAAATTATTAAAGATCTAAATGAGTTGGAAAGTATGAAGCCTTAAGAGAGTTCCACAATCGAGAAATGCGAGCATAGAAACTGTTAGCATAAAACATCCGATTACATCTAGCCAATTGAAACACAAATTGGTGAGACCTCACCGCCCATCTAGTACTTCGCTTACGTTCGAAAAGTCAAGCTACAATGGGGGAGAGCTCATGATGTGGATAACAAAACTGAATGAAAAACTGGAACATAAGGTCGAGAGAAAAACTGGTTTAACCACACGAAAGATATGGATTCATCGTGCAGTAATAGAAAATACCGTAATTCAGTACTGTGTGACAATATGTACAACTCAAACACTACACCTTGCGACCCGCTTTGCAACGACCGTTTTCATGGTGATTTGTAAAGCATAGCATAGATGTGGGACAAGGATGGAATTATAAGGGCACCTAGTGAGGATCGAATTCACTATTCAGTCGTAATTTATTTAAAAAGATCATTGCACAACGTCGAGGTTCAAAAAAGTCCGTTACAATGAGCAGGAGTTATGATTATAGCGGTTGGACGAGACCATGTTCAAATATTAGTGGAGACAAGCTTGTTCGTCTTACTAGACAACATGTTTAATGTATTAATTTTGGGAAGTGGCTTGAGCCGAGAACTTTTATTCCCTCCCTTGTGTATAAGAGTGAAATATAAAGAGATGAGAGTTAAAGAAAGAGATAACCTCTTGTGTTATTAACTGAACAAGATGAATATTTCGGAAACGGTTAATGTTCTCTAAAGCCATTTACCGTTTTCAGTATGGCCTTTAAATATCTATATTTACAACGGTGTACTTTATAAGGCCGTCATATATTTATGATGAAAGGTTATTAATATGATTATCTTATTGATACTCGAGTTTCTATTTTCAGCAAGAGACATGTGGTCTTCACCCATATGTTTCTGTTGATTTCATACATTTTTCATATTTGTACATAACGGCTTTATCATTTCTAAAGTTGAATGGAATATATAAGGAAAATGATTAATAGGTGCAGGAATATTTAGATTCATATACTAGTATTAGTGTGGATTTGTGCATGTGTGTGTTTATATATATATATATATATATATATATATATATATATATATATATATATATATATATATATAACTTAATTGATTTAAAATATGGTTTTTTCGCTACACAGTTCCAAACATGTTTCAAAAATAGAAGCTAAAACCCCGAATTTAATTTTGCAATTAAATTAAAAGCATTAGTTCCATTTCATCTTCAAGCGAATTTTGGCGTAACTTTTAAAAATTACCGGGTTTTAAAGACACAGCTAAAATCACGTTTCCATGGTTACAGAATATTCTACTTAAATTGAACAAGGGATGTCTAGATTTTCCTTATGTCAGTATCATTGTATCAGTTATTAGCTACAACTTGGTAAGGGGTAGGGATGTATTTTACAATGAAACCTGACATCAGTTGAATGTATGTCGTCTGAATTTTTTTTTTTTTTAAATTGTTAACGGTAAAAAAATTTCAACGTCATTTTTTAAATTTAAAGATTTTCGGGTTTTTTTGTTTTTTTCCTAATACTTTTTATTTAACTACGATTTGAAATATTCTCCTTTTTAATTTTTATTTTACTATATTCTTTTTAAGAACAGTTAAATGTATTAGAATCCATTATATTATGTAGGATTATTTTAACATCAAGTTTAAGTATGTATATGAGGTTACATTTTTTTTTTTTTTTTTTTTTTAATTTATGACTATGACGGCAAAAATATCTATAAGAACACCGGATTTTATATCTTACTGTTCTTTCTTTTTATTTATATACATAAGAAATAATCATATAGGAACAGCAATTTTGAATGTTTATATTCCCTTTGTTTTTAGAAATATTACTATACACAAGTGGACACTAACACATGACTGTATATATACAACCATGATAATGTATTTGCACACTGAGACACCTGTTTATATGTACATGTATATGTTTTTATACGGAAAAAGAGACATACCGGTTTTTTTTTGGTTTTTTTGTGAGTGTGGGGATGTACAATTAGTTAGGTACTTATATGTTTTGCCATAAATATGAAAGATCGGGTAATATTATATGTGTAGAGACATAGACAATGTAATTAAATACTGAGATAGTCTTCGAACGCAGGCATAAGTGGATGCACAGAAGGACATGAGAATAGGGACAAATACGTAGGTAGAGATATATGTAAGTGCAAATTAACGTATGTGGGTATATAGATATTCTGCAGATTGCGTATGCATGTGTGTGTGTGTATATATATGTATGTACGTATGCATATATAGGTGTGTGTATGTATGTGTATATGTG